AGAAAGAGAGAGAGAGAGAGAGAGAGAGAGAGAGAGAGAGAGAGAGAGAGAGAAAGAGGGAAAGAAAGAAAGAAAGAGTAAAAAAAAAAAATGAAACAACAACAATGAAAGAAAGCCAAAAGAAAAATTAAGACAGCAAAAGGGGAAAAAATTAAATTCTCAGCATTACCTAACCACTATCATGTTGGAAAGCATGCTAGCGAAATGTCAGAGTGAAATATGCAAACCACCCTGTGCACACTGAACATTTCCGTTTTCCAGGGGGCAGCACCTCTCTCTCTCTCTCATTAATGATGCAAGGTGCAGAGCTATACTATGGGCTGTACATTTAGTTTGAAAAGCTTCACACTTAGCAAAGAACCTCTCACCTCTCATCTCTATTTATAGGGCTAAGTGCATTGTCTACCAATCTGCGACTGCACCAAGTATTGAGTGCAATTTCCTTGGTATTTGTACAAACAATAATACACAACCTATTTATTTATGGAACCCTCTGTTGAAGGTAGGTGCCCTCTGCCCCCTGCCATAGTTAGTGGACCATTGCAATCTAAACTGTGATCCTTTCTCACAGCTCCTCAGTTGGTGTGTTTAGGTACCAAAGTGGACATTACTTATTTAAGGATATCCCTTAGGTAGCTCCCAATAAAGAAGTCAAGGTGTGGTAGACCTCTACCTAGAGTATTCTTGTATGTGCAAACCTCTGAACTCCTGACATTGAAATAAATACCCTGCTTTTAAAGAGGAATTTGGAGATTCTAAACTCACCTCCCACTTCCTGTTCACACACTCTGCATTCCCCTCAGAGACCCTGTGAAAAGGAAGTGCAGGTGAGCTCCCATTTCCTCTCAGTGGTCAGGGAGGATTGAGTGAAAAGGATCTGGTTTCCTGTAGACTAGACCCATAGACACAGCCTCTTGAAGATGGTGTTTCAAGGAGCCTCAGGGTCTCAGAACCAACTGTCACACTGTATTAGGCATCTAACACCTTACCACCACTACCACCAGCAGCACCGCTAGAAGATGAACAGAAGGAAGCTGAAGCAATCCTCAAGACTTGAGTAGTATTTCTAGATAAGAGCAAGATAATTGTTCAAATAGACCATGGGAGAAAGAAATATGTTAGTGCAGGTCCAGCCTCATGCCAGGGCATACCTGTGGGGTATATTATAGAGAGAACCTGTAAGTCTTTCTGCCTCAAAATACTTCCTTGACTAATACATGAAACATCAGTCATTTGCAGGTAAGTGTTCCCTTCTTCCTGAAGTCTTGATTTTCAAATCCTGATGCTCTTGGAAATATACTTATTTGAAAACTTGGTGTGAATGAATTTATTAGAATTGGGAAGATGGGTGTAGATGGTGGGAGCAGGATATAAAGAAAAGCTAATAAGATCCCAGGATAGGAAAACTGAACTGCCAAAGCAATCTTTAGTAATTTTGTACTAGGCTAGTTATGATGAGAACAGTCCTAAGCAAGTGGGGTAAAATATAAGGGGGGAAATGTAAATTAATCATAATTTGCATTAGGTCAGATATGTTTACAATAAAATAAAATATATTGCCCTTTGTCTTTTTATTCTTTACTCTGAGTTCTGGCATAATATGCAGGTGATGCTGTGTTTATTAAAGAATTTTTCTACTTGATTTTGGTGTGTCTAGAGTTTATTGGGATGTTCTCTCCCCTCACACAGCCTTAGCTCCATTCAGCAAATATTTATTGAAAAACTGCTAAAAGCACACCCGAGGGGAAGGGGAGAATGTGGGGAAAACTGTGAGAGTGGGCTGCTGGTAAAAGAAAGGGTGTCATCTCTCAGGAGCTTTTTAGAATCTAGATAAGACATTATGCAATTGTCTCAAATATAAGGCAATGTATATGTAATAAAGGCCTAATAATGTCATATCTAGTGCTGCAACATTTTACAGAGGAAGTCAGAGTTCCTGGAGCACTGAGATAAGGAGTGAAATTTCAGGCAAGTCTTCCAGGAGAAGGAGAGTTTGTGCTGGATCTATTAAGAATAGCAGGGTTTTGCCAGGCCTGCATGGCTCAGCGGTTGAGTGTCGACCTATGAACCAGGAGGTTACAGTTCAATTCCCGGTCAGAGCATATGAACGGGTTGAGAGCTGGATCTCCAGTGTGGGGCGTGCAGGAGGCAGCCAATCAATGATTCTCTCTCATTATTGATGTTTCTATCTCTCTCCCCCTCTCCCTTCCTCTCTGAAATCAATAAAAATATATTTTTTAAAAAGAATAGCAGGATTTTTGTCTATGAGTCTGTCTCTTTTCTTTTTTAGTTTATTTTGTTCATGATACTCCACATATGAGTGAAATCATATTGTTTTTGTCTTTGTCTCTGGCAGGATTATTTCACTTAGCATAATATTTTCTAGGTCCATCCATGCTGTTGCACAAGGTAAAATTTCCTTATTTTTTTTTTACAGCTAAGTAGTATTCCATTATGTAAATGTACCACAGCTTTTTATCTTGGTTATTGTAAATAATGCTGCAATGAAATCTGTATAATTTTATTAACCAGTGACACCTCAATAAATTCAATAAAAAGGAAAAAATAATAGCAATTTCAATAAGTAGAGAACAGAAAGATATTCAGTTTTCTAAAAACCCATAAATATCTCTGCTTTGTATGAGCACACCTTTCATTATTTTCATTTACTTCCTGTCTGATTCAACCAAATAGCTTTAGGAGACACAAAATAATCACACATTTTGAAACAACATACCCGGTGGTGAAATTTCCTGAGCTAGACTGCACGTACCTTTCCTTTTTAGGACAAAGAACTTTAGCCTGATTAAAATGAAAGGAATACCCCTATAGCAACATTGTTAAATTCCACTACAAATTGGCTAAATAATAATAGTATATCAGAGCTGAAGGGAATAAGAGTGATGATTTAGTCTAAGCTTTCATTTTAAAGATAAAGAAGGTAAAAAAGGAAGTAATAAGGTTCATGTATCACAGTAAATTAATGATAAAGTGGGGGCCTAAACTCAAGTTTCTTTACTTTTAAGACAATATTATCACCAAAGTTATTTCCATCTGGCCAGTCTCATGACACCTATGAAATGTGTGATTTATTTGTAGTTATATCATCTGTGGAAAGACATTGTCTTGCTAGTTACATAGGAAAGGTCAAATACAAATAGACTTGAAAGCTAAGTTCTATGGTTCTGTCTTTACACATAAAAGACATTTTGTCTTACTTAGGTCTATTTAAAATTACAAAGGTCAAGCCCACTTAAAGATACAGATCAAGATGATTCCTTTATCTTTCTCAGTAGTGTAATTGTGAAATGTAAAGAAATATTAAAGTAGATATAAAGGAAAGTTTTGAGCTTTTATTATTGGTTTGAGGAATTTTCTTTTTAATAAATGTTTCATTATCACTTAATATTTACCTTATAATTCCAAAATTACTTTTTCAGCTAGCTTCTTTGTTATGTTGTACATCAAATATTACATGGTGCAATACAGATTATCATTAATATAGTTTTTGTAAATATATTCACATCAGACCTGCAATTTACCCCCACAGAATTCATGAGTTACTACCTTCAAAGAAACAGTTTATTCACCCAAATAAGATAAGATACATAAAAAAAACTGTAAAATATGAAAGGACAGTTCAAAGCAATGCTGAAAAAACTATAATATTTCTGTTGAGCAAATATTCAATTGTGTCTTTCTAAGAACTGCAAACTGCTTTATGCCTTGTTATGTGATTGTGCAGAATTAATACTTCATCATCAATAGAAAATCAGTGTGCTTCATTTAACAGATTAAAACATTTTTTTAAAAAAATTGATTACCTAAATTATTTTCTTTGCAGAGTAACTAGTTAAAGCACTAATTATACCCATTCTTAGTTTAAGTAAATTACTTTTTTATGGAAGGAGAGGGTATTTTATAGTCTGTGAGTTGGCAATATGCTAGGTATTATCCTATCAGTTTTACAGTCTTTATCTTACTTATTCATCTGAGCAACCCTGTGTTTTAAGTACTATTTGTTCCTGTTTTATAGTTGAAAAAAAGACAGCATTGTTAAATAGCTTTCCCCAAGTTATACAGCTTTTACAGTCAGGAAATGCTGAGAATTGATTTGGAGTTTTGAAATTAAGATTTCAAGACAGAGAATATCATTCTCAGACCTTAGTGGTGCCTATTGGTAAATGATAATATTGAAAACAAATTATATTAATCTTTAAAAATATACAATAAAATAAGAATTTGTAAATATAGATTCAAGATATTCACCAGGCCAAGAGAAAAATTCCCACAGTCTTGGGATTATGGATGTATGACATAAGAGGGATTCTCTATTTAGGGGACTCCCACATAGTCCTAAGTAGACTATAAAATATCTCCCAGTACCATAATTTCAAGCAGTTCCAATATAGGTAACCAACTCCACTCCTTTCTTTGACAAAGTTTTGTTATATCTGATATCATTATGTTTTTCTTTCTTTGGGGGTAAGCCTCAGTCTTGATCATGGAAGAAGGTGGAATGACAAAATCCCCTTTACAGAAATTTACTGAATCCAGAATGAAAATAGAAGGAAATTGGTGGAAAGTTGTTTTTCTATTCCAGACAAATAGCCCAGGAGCCAAATACAAAAAGCCAGTTTACTCAAGACGACACCTATTTGAAAAACCAATGTAGTGAAATTTAATTTGTTCATTGAGTTTATTCTTTATCTAGAAAATAAAGGAAATATTAAATGGTCCAGAACACAGTGTCCAAAATAAAAAATAATTGTGTTATTATGTATTGGAACAAGTTTGGGTCCGGAAAGGAGCCTGATTTTCTATTTTTGAAAATGTCCAGAGAATCCTAATATATAAAAACCCAGGGTCCACAATGTCCAAAATGACCAAAGGCTCAACTGACCGGAAGTCAGTCCTGCAGTCAGTTCTGGGTTGCTGTGGAGACCCAGCACTGACAGCCACCGCGGCAGGCATGGTGACCCAGCACTGACTGCAGAGGGGGCTGTGGATCAGGCCTGGAGAGAGAAGCAGGGTCTGATCTGTAGCCTCTGTGGCAGCTGTCCATCAGCCCTTGCCTCTCTCTTTCTCTCCAGGCCTGGCCAACAGCTGTGCTTCTTTCTCTCGGGGCCTCTGCGGGGGCTGCTGATCAGCCCCGCCTCTCTGATCAGGCCTGGAGATAGGCCTGGAGATGCTGACTGGCA